ACCTTGACGTCTCCCTTCATGAAGTCACTGACGTCGATCACCACCTGATGATTTATACAATGATTAAATGGATCACAGACAGGGATGGCCTGTGATAACAATGTATGTTAATAGGTCACATGATAAGTGCATCATTGTACCCACCTGATGAGTGTGTTGGTTCTCGCTGACCTTCATGGCTTGGTTCTCGTCTCTCAGGTCACACTCACGCAGACTCCTGTAGAGGGACAGGTCGTCAGCTGAGGTCTTTACTTCTCCCATCCTGGTCAACACCTCCTTAACGGCCGTCTCGAAGCTGTCACGAGCGTCTTGGAAGAAAGAATCTTGGAAGAATAAACCTTTGTGGCATATTGGCAGGAGGGAATCTAACATCCATGACTCCTCGTTGGCGGCAGAGGTGTTGGTGTGTTTTCTGTCATGATCAATGTGGAGAGTTTTTGTTTCCTGGGAGATGGATTTGTCGACGACATTTGTGTCACTGGACGACTCTGTGTTACGCTTTTGTTTCTCAGTTTTTTCTCTCTCGTCGACGGAGCTTCGTCTCACTTGGTTCTTTGTAGCCGTGGAGGACCTTTGTTGTGACCCTCTGGTGTCCCTTATGACAGGTGAAGACGATTGTTTTCCTACTGTCCGGAGAGTGTTTGTGCTGGTAACATTGGCACCAGGTACAATATTTTCCGTCGCTTTGGACTGTTTCTGTTAAAGAAAAATTATTAGAAGGAGAACCAAACAGATATCTTACATGTTACATTTTAATTTAATGTTTATGAAGTTATTTATTGCAATCACCAGAAATTTCACAAGAACGAACCTTCTTCGGCACAGTGACTGTGAGGACACCGTCAGAAGACATGGTGGAGGTCACGGCCTCTGGCCTGACGAGACCAGGGAAGGAGAACCGACGTCGGAAACTCTTCTTGGAGACTGAGCCCTCCTGCCGCTGCTCCACACTGCCCTCCACCACCAACTCGTCCTCATCAACCACCTTCACCTTCACGTCTCCACTGACAAAGTCTCTCACGTCCATCACCACCTGTTGGATTAAGTAGCATTTTGTTCACTAACTTTAAGATGTCTACCATGAAGCTGTTTTAGACAAGATCATTACATATTATATAATATATGTAAGTGTGATGTTATAACTTAGTAATAATATAATATAGGACCTCGTCTTACCTTGTGACTCTGGTGATCCTCCGTGATGGACACTGCCTGGTTCTCCTCCTTCAGGTCACGTTCTCTCAGACCTCTGTAGCAGGTCATGTGGTCACTGTCAGGTGTTTCTCCCCACGTATCCAGGACCTTCTTCACGGCCGACTCAAAGTCCTGGCGTGCTTCTGCGAAGAATGAGTCATGGAAGAAGAGACCCTTGTGAGATATTGGCAGCAGCCAGTCTGAGGTTTGGTCTGGAGAGGAACCGCTGGTCTGTGTCGTCTTCTTTCTTGATGTTTTGTTGACTTCATCGTCCAGACTGAAGTGTGTTGACTTCACATTATTGTGTTCTGTATTTTTAGTAATTTTTGAACGTGTTGAAGATTGTGAGTTGCTACCATTTACGGACTTATTAAAGTTTTCTTTATCTTCTTGTGTGGCTGTGGAGGAGTTGGTGGGAACGCTCCTCTTGTTCACATTAACACCCGCACCGTGTGTCAGTTGTACCTGTTGGATAAAACTATAGTGAGATCTTCCCTGTAAGGCATCACTCACGATAACATATTTGTTTGTATATATTGATGCTTAAGTTTTTTTTTATACAATTTAATAAAGTAACTGCTAAACGTTGTCTGGATTTATGCGGCAAGTCATATAACACCAACCTTCTTCTTCGGCACAGTGACTGTGAGGACACCGTCAGAAGAGATGGTGGAGGTCACGGCCTCTGGCCTGACGAGACCAGGGAAGGAGAACCGACGTCGGAAACTCTTCTTGGAGACTGAGCCCTCCTGCCGCTGCTCCACACTGCCCTCCACCACCAACTCGTCCTCATCAACCACCTTCACCTTCACGTCTCCACTGACGAAGTCTCTCACGTCCATCACCACCTGTGAGACATAAGACAAGCCATGTTTAAGAGGCCATGTTACCATAGATCACAGCTACTCTCCGTCTCCTAACACATAAAGATATACCAAGAGGTGAGAGACAGCTGTTGAATAATGACCCAGACTGTACACTACTACACTATATGGACAACACGCTCACAAAACCTTCCAATTACCTGGTGACAATTGTCATCTTGGGAGACGGCGACCGCCTGGTTGGCCTCTGTGAGGTTTGACTCACGAAGTTTCCTGTAGGAGGTGAGGTCATCCACTAGGGTTGACCTGTGATCCCATTCGTCGAGCACCTCCCTGACGGCGGCGTCAAAGTGTTGACGAGCCTCCTTGAAGAAAGTGTCGTGGTAGAACTGTCCCCGGCAGGTGATGGGCAGCAGAGCTTCCCAGACACCTGTTGACTCTTGCTGTGATAAGTTTGGTTCACACAGCCTGCTGTTGCTGTCACTGCTGTTGCTGCTGCTTCTGTTCCTGCTGCTGCTGATGCGGTCACTGCTGCTGCTGCTGCTGCTCTTGGTAATACTGCTGTTTACACTTGTTAAACAGGAGGATGTGCTAACACTGCTCTTATTCTCGGCAGTTGTTGTGTCGAGGCAGGAAGATGTGCTGTGGTGCTGTGTTGGGGCCATGACTCTCACTTTACACTTGTAGTCACACTTGTATTATCACAGTCACTTGTACTTAAGTAAGACAAGTTGAACAGTTGGCGGCGGTGATGCTGGGAGAGTTGTGTTTGTCCGAACCTTCCTTCTCCACCTTTTATGTTGGCCCCACGCCCGCGCACCGCCCACCACCTCTGACGTCACTATGACGTGGCTTCTTGATCACTCTGGAGTTTACTAGAAGGAAATAAAAAAAGTTCGACATGTTGTGAGGAAAGTCCATTACTATTTGGTGTTGTGTATATTCTGCGTAGGTCATCAGACTACCTTGCGCTTCATGATGTTCCTCCTTTTATGGTAGGATAGATTAGGTTAGGTTAGTACATACTTGACATATACTGTATTGTTATCTTACGCTTAACCTTATTTAACACGATGGCAGGTCTGTTTAAGGTGTCAACATTTATCCTCGTTCATACATACATACACCAACCTACTCGGGAATGGGACAACTGGCCGCCGCCGTCTAGCCGCCGCGGACTGGGGGTAAACTGCAAACGCCTAATTTTGCGCTCTCAAGGCAGGTTAGGTTAGGTTAGGTACTTCATGGGCTGCGGCCAGATGGCGGCGGCCAGTTGTCCTAGGGTCTAGGACAACTGGCCGCCGCCATCTGGCCGCAGCCCATGAAGTACCTAACCTAACCTAACCTAACCTGCCTTGAGAACTATTAAGAAAGGCGGGCATTATAACTCTCTGAAGAAGTAGACTACTGGCATTATTTAACCCGGAAAGACAGAATAATTGATCTTCTGACGAATGGTGGTGGCGAGAAGCTCCGTGGCCATTATGACGTCACCAGGTGGTCGGAGGGCGCGGTGCCAATACAGGTACACACACACACACACACACACACACACACACAGATACACACACACACACACACACACAGATGAGACACGTTGCACAATAAACAGTTCTCCTGCGATAAGATAAAGTTATGTTGGTTGTTGTCTGTTTTGACATTATCTCTAGATTGAGTGAGTAGATAGCTGGCTACCCCCCTCCCCCTCGTACACCCAAGGGCTGGTGTACAAGGACTGACGAGGGACATTGACGGTCTGACGAGGGACATTGACGGTCTGACGAGGGACATTGATGGTCAGACGAGGGACATTGACGGTCTGACGAGGGACATTGACGGTCTGACGAGGGACATTGACGGTCTGACGAGGGACATTGACGGTCTGACGAGGGACATTGACGGTCTGACATTGACGGTCTGACGAGGGACATTGACGGTCTGGCGAGGACATTGACGGTCTGACGAGGGACATTGACGGTCTGACGAGGGACATTGATGGTCAGACGATTGACGGTCTGACGAGGGACATTGACGGTCTGACGAGGGACATTGACGGTCTGACGAGGGACATTGACGGTCTGACGAGGGACATTGACGGTCTGACGAGGGACATTGACGGTCTGCCGAGGGACATTGACGGTCTGACGAGGGACATTGACGGTCTGGCGTGGGACATTGACGGTCTGACGAGACATTGACGGTCTGACGAGGACATTGACGGTCTGACGATGGTCTGACGAGGGACATTGACGGTCTGACGAGGGACATTGACGGTCTGACGAGGGACATTGACGGTCTGACGAGGGACAGATGGTCTGACGAGGGACATTGACGGTCTGACGAGGACATTGACGGTCTGACGAGGGACATTGACGGTCTGACGAGGGACAATGATGGTCTGACGAGGGACATTGACGGTCTGACGAGGGACAATGATGGTCTGACGAGGGACATTGACGGTCTGACGAGGGACATTGACGGTCTGACGAGGGACATTGATGGTCTGACGAGGGACATTGACGGTCTGGCGTGGGACAATGATGGTCTGACGAGGGACATTGACGGTCTGCCGAGGGACATTGGCGGTCTGGGTAAGTCACCTTTACAATCTTAACACAACTCCTAAATATTACGGTGTATAACTCACAAGAAATAACTCACAAGAATGTAAGAATAAGCTTTTTACTCACGTCCATATAAAGTATTGTAGCGTTAGATTAAGTTAACAATGAAACCTTTAATTAATACCTCTTGTATATTTATTTTAAAGAACAAATTATATGAATGATCCAACTTATAATTATTTAAAGTAAAATAATAAAAAAAGAACAGAAAAATATATAAATTCTGGAAGGTTCTGGGCCGTCAGGAGTGATCTGGTTATTGCGGGAATCAGTGTTGGTTGCGGTAGTGACGTCAGAGAAGGTGGGCGGTGCGCGGGCGTGGGGCCAACATAAAAGGTGGAGAGGGAAGGTTCGGACAAACACAACTCTCCCAGCATCACCGCCGCCAACTGTTCAACTTGTCTTACTTAAGTACAAGTGACTGTGATAATACAAGTGTGACTACAAGTGTAAAGTGAGAGTCATGGCCCCAACACAGCACCACAGCACATCTTCCTGCCTCGACACAACAACTGCCGAGAATAAGAGCAGTGTTAGCACATCCTCCTGTTTAACAAGTGTAAACAGCAGTATTACCAAGAGCAGCAGCAGCAGCAGCAGTGACCGCATCAGCAGCAGCAGGAACAGAAGCAGCAGCAGCAGCAGTGACAGCAACAGCAGGCTGTGTGAACCAAACTTATCACAGCAAGAGTCAACAGGTGTCTGGGAAGCTCTGCTGCCCATCACCTGCCGGGGACAGTTCTACCACGACACTTTCTTCAAGGAGGCTCGTCAACACTTTGACGCCGCCGTCAGGGAGGTGCTCGACGAATGGGATCACAGGTCAACCCTAGTGGATGACCTCACCTCCTACAGGAAACTTCGTGAGTCAAACCTCACAGAGGCCAACCAGGCGGTCGCCGTCTCCCAAGATGACAATTGTCACCAGGTAATTGGAAGGTTTTGTGAGCGTGTTGTCCATATAGTGTAGTAGTGTACAGTCTGGGTCATTATTCAACAGCTGTCTCTCACCTCTTGATATATCTTTATGTGTTAGGAGACGGAGAGTAGCTGTGATCTATGGTAACATGGCCTCTTAAACATGGCTTGTCTTATGTCTCACAGGTGGTGATGGACGTGAGAGACTTCGTCAGTGGAGACGTGAAGGTGAAGGTGGTTGATGAGGACGAGTTGGTGGTGGAGGGCAGTGTGGAGCAGCGGCAGGAGGGCTCAGTCTCCAAGAAGAGTTTCCGACGTCGGTTCTCCTTCCCTGGTCTCGTCAGGCCAGAGGCTGTGACCTCCACCATCTCTTCTGACGGTGTCCTCACAGTCAATGTGCCGAAAAAGAAGGTTGGTGTTATATGACTTGCCGCATAAATCCAGACAACGTTTAGCATTTACTTTATTAAATTGTATAAAAAAAACTTAAGCATCAATATATACAAACAAATATGTTATCGTGAGTGATGCCTTACAGGGAAGATCTCACTATAGTTTTATCCAACAGGTACAACTGACACACGGTGCGGGTGTTAATGTGAACAAGAGGAGCGTTCCCACCAACTCCTCCACAGCCACACGAGAAGATAAAGAAAACTTTAATAAGTCCGTAAATGGTCGACACCTTCCTAGCAACTCACAATCTTCAACACGTTCAAAAATTACTAAAAATACAGAACACAATAATGTGAAGTCAACACACTTCAGTCTGGACGATGAAGTCAACAAAACATCAAGAAAGAAGACGACACAGACCAGCGGTTCCCCTCCAGACCAAACCTCAGACTGGCTGCTGCCAATATCTCACAAGGGTCTCTTCTTCCATGACTCATTCTTCGCAGAAGCTCGCCAGGACTTTGAGTCGGCCGTGAAGAAGGTCCTGGATACGTGGGGAGAAACACCTGACAGTGACCACATGACCTGCTACAGAGGTCTGAGAGAACGTGACCTGAAGGAGGAGAACCAGGCAGTGTCCATCACGGAGGATCACCAGAGTCACAAGGTAAGACCAAGTCCTTTATTATATTATTACTAAGTTATAACATCACACTTACATATATTATATAATATGTGATGATCTTGTCTAAAACAGCTTCATGGTAGACATCTTAAAGTTAGTGAACAAAATGCTACTTAATCCAACAGGTGGTGATGGACGTGAGAGACTTTGTCAGTGGAGACGTGAAGGTGAAGGTGGTTGATGAGGACGAGTTGGTGGTGGAGGGCAGTGTGGAGCAGCGGCAGGAGGGCTCAGTCTCCAAGAAGAGTTTCCGACGTCGGTTCTCCTTCCCTGGTCTCGTCAGACCAGAGGATGTGACCTCCACCATGTCTTCTGACGGTGTCCTCACAGTCACTGTGCCGAAGAAGGTTCGTCCTTGTGAAATTTCTGGTAATTGCAATAAATAACTTCATAAACATTAAATTAAAATGTAACATGTAAGATATCTGTTTGGTTCTCCTTATATTAATATTTCTTTAACAGAAACAGTCCAAAGCGACGGAAAATATTGTACCTGGTGCCAATGTTACCAGCACAAACACTCTCCGGACAGTAGGAAAACAATCGTCTTCACCTGTCATAAGGGACACCAGAGGGTCACAACAAAGGTCCTCCACGGCTACAAAGAACCAAGTGAGACGAAGCTCCATCGACGAGAGAGAAAAAACTGAGAAACAAAAGCGTAACACAGAGTCGTCCGGTGACACAAATGTCGTCGACAAATCCATCTCCCAGGAAACAAAAACTCTCTACATTGATCATGACAGAAAACACACCAACACCTCTGCCGCCAACGAGGAGTCATGGATGTTAGATTCCCTCCTGCCAATATGCCACAAAGGTTTATTCTTCCAAGATTCTTTCTTCCAAGACGCTCGTGACAGCTTCGAGACGGCCGTTAAGGAGGTGTTGACCAGGATGGGAGAAGTAAAGACCTCAGCTGACGACCTGTCCCTCTACAGGAGTCTGCGTGAGTGTGACCTGAGAGACGAGAACCAAGCCATGAAGGTCAGCGAGAACCAACACACTCATCAGGTGGGTACAATGATGCACTTATCATGTGACCTATTAACATACATTGTTATCACAGGCCATCCCTGTCTGTGATCCATTTAATCATTGTATAAATCATCAGGTGGTGATCGACGTCAGTGACTTCATGAAGGGAGACGTCAAGGTGAAGGCAGTAGGCAAGAATCTAGTGGAGGTAGAAGGTCTCGTGGAGAAGCAAGAGGGAGAATTAAAGTCGAACAAGAGCTTCTGTCGTCGCTTTAATCTTCCTGGCGTGGTGAACTTGGACACCATCACCTCTGCCATATCTTCGGACGGCGTCCTCACTATCAGGGCGCCTAAAACCTCGGGGGACGCTAGTGTGAGGACGGCATCCCGGGAGGAGAGGACGCTGCATCATCAGGACACCAGCGAGGGGCGTGACGGCTACCCCTTCACCCACAGTTGTTCATCACACCAACACCTCGTCTCCCCCAGACCCACCAGCATGTAAACCTCACACCACTCACAAAATTACCAAAGAAATGCGATGTTAACCTTCAGGAAATATCAGTTTGTTGACATATTTTATTTTTATGAATAAATTCCACTTTCATATTATCAACATGGATAAGTTTTTTATACTGATATAAAACTCTGGAATAAATACTCCTGTCTACTGGCTGGAACAAAGAGAAAACCCTGGAAATAATAACATGAACAATTATACTCTTGGACGTATAATTAAAGGTGGGCGAATTATGAAAGAGATAGAAGTGGAAGTAAGTGATGGAAGGAAGAGTCTTAGATGAATGAATAAATATGAAACTATGTTCTCAAGACACGACAAAATCTGGGAGGATTCTAAAGTGTGGGTCGTGGTCGCCAACCCTCAGATGATAATTTTTTGTAAACATATAGTACCTCATCACAGACCGGTGGACGAGAACGATGATTTAAGAACATAAGAATGAAGGAAACTACAGCGGACCTATTGGCCCATACTGGACGGTCCCGTTTACACCCAACCCCTATCACTCATATATCCACCCAACCTGTGTTTGAAGCTGTCCAGCGTATTAGAGTTAATGATGATGTTTGGTAACTTGTTCCACTCATCCACTACTCTATTCCCAAACCAATGTTTACCTATCTCGCGCCTTACTAAATTTGTCTATTTTAAAACCATTGTTACGAGTTCGCTCCTGGTTGGATAGTTTGAGTACCTTTGTTATATCACCTTTGTTCAGCCCTGACTTCCATTTATACTCCTCCATCATATCGCCCCTCACTCTACGTCTCTCGAGGGAGTACAAATTAAGATGCTTTAACCTGTCTCTGTACTCAAGGTTCCTAATGCCCGGGATTAGTCTTGTCATTCTCCTCTGTATAAGTGAACCACCAATAATGCCGTGTGGACTGCTTGTACCATTGTACCACGGTTCCATTCATTGTACCACCGCTCCACTCATCGTACCACGGCCCCATTAATTGTACCACGGCCCCACTCATTGTACCACGGCCCCACTCATTTTACCACGGCCCCATTCATTGTACCACGGCCCCCACTCATTGTACCACGGCCCCACTCATTGTAGCACTCGAAGGTACAGTAAGATCATTCGTGTTGCCTAATAATGATGTACATTTTTGTAAATGGAATAAAATTTTGTAATGAAATGCTTTATTACGTATCAAATTTCGTTGCTTCTGATAACGATTTAAAATCAGAGTTGGAAACAGCGACCATGAGGCATCTAGTGTCAAGCAATACTGTAAGCTGCCAGTACTAGGTAGTACTGTAAGCTGCTAGTACCAGGCAGTACTGTAAGCTGCTAGTGCCAGGCAGTACTGTAAGCTGCTAGTGCCAGGCAGTACTGTAAGCTGCTAGTGCCAGGCAGTACTGTAAGCTGCCAGTGCCATGCAGTACTGTAAGCTGCTAGTGCCAGGCAGTACCATAAGCTGCCAGTACCAGGTAGTACCATGAGCTGCCAGTGCCAGGCAGTACCATGAGCTGCCAGTGCCAGGCAGTACCATGAGCTGCCAGTGACAGGCAGTACCATGAGCTGCCAGTGCCAGGCAGTACCATGAGCTGCCAGTGCCAGGCAGTACCATGAGCTGCCAGTGCCAGGCAGTACCATAAGCTGCCAGTGCCAGGCAGTACTGTAAGCTGCTAGTGCCAGGCAGTACTGTAAGCTGCTAGTGCCAGGCAGTACTGTAAGCTGCCAGTGCCATGCAGTACTGTAAGCTGCCAGTGCCAGGCAGTACCATGAGCTGCCAGTGCCAGGCAGTACCATAAGCTGCCAGTACCAGGCAGTACCATGAGCTGCCAGTGCCAGGCAGTACCATGAGCTGCCAGTGACAGGCAGTACCATGAGCTGCCAGTGCCAGGCAGTACCATGAGCTGCCAGTGCCAGGCAGTACCATGAGCTGCCAGTGCCAGGCAGTACCATGAGCTGCTGTGCCAGGCAGTACTGTAAGCTGCCAGTGCCATGCAGTACCATGAGCTGCCAGTGCCAGGCAGTACTCATGAGCTGCCAGTGCCAGGCAGTACTGTGGGCTGCCAGTGCCAGGTAGTACTGTAAGCGCCGACCGATGCGCGAGCTGCCGGTGCCAGGAACATTGCCGAGCTGCCAGTGCCAGGTAAGTGCCGCGAGCTGCCAGTGCCAGGCGGTACCATGAGCTGCTGGTGCGGGGCAGTACCGCATGACTGCCAGTGCCAGGCAGTACCATGAGCTGCCAGTGCCGGGCAGTACCTGCGAGCTGCCAGTGCCAGGCAGTGCCCGAAGCCTGGCTGCCAGTGCCAGGCAGTCTGGCTGCCAGTACCAGGCAGTGCCGCAGGAACTGCCAGTGCCAGGAAGACACGCCCAGACCTGCTGGCCAGGCAGTGCCATGAGCTGCCAGTGCCAGGCTGCCAGTACCATGAGCTGCCAGGCAGTGCCAGGCCATGAGCTGCCAGTGCCAGGCAGTACCATGAGCTGCCAGTGCCAGGCAGTACCATGAGCTGCCAGTGCCAGGCAGTACCATGAGCTGCCAGTGCCAGGCAGTACCATAAGCTGCCAGTGCCAGGCAGTACCATGAGCTGCCAGTGCCAGGCAGTACCATGAGCTGCCAGTGCCATGCAGTACCATGAGCTGCTAGTGCCAGGCAGTACCATGAGCTGCCAGTGCCAGGCAGTACCATGAGCTGCCAGTGCCAGGCAGTACCATCAGCTGCCAGTGCCAGGCAGTACCATAAGCTGCCAGTGCCAGGCAGTACCATGAGCTGCCAGTGCCAGGCAGTACCATGAGCTGCCAGTGCCAGGCAGTACAATGAGCTGCCAGTGCCAGGCAGTACCATGAGCTGCCAGTGCCAGGCAGTCACTGAGCTCAGATAGATTACCTTAGGTGTTAACTCGGTATCATTTTTGTTTATGTAAGTTCGAAATTGTTCCACAAATAATGCGGTGTTTTTCATTTCTCAATAAGTTTTACATTCACCAAAGATATGTTTATGTTTTCTATTAACTGACTTTTGTAACTGTGAGAATTTACTAGGAATTAGTTGGAATTATCAAATATTGGGTTGATTTTTATTCATAAGTGTTTTTTTCCTCGTCGTAATTGTTTCTCAAATATTTCTCAGTACCATCAACACATTCTCTGTACACGGGCAAAAATACATATAATTTTTACTGAAAGTTTTTATTTTATCTCCAAAAGTCGTTTACATCATTATAACAATTACGTAAACTTGCCCGAAGAGGAGTTAAAATTTCCCTGTGTTTGTGCCGTAACAATGAGGCTCTCGACTACCTCAGTTAGTGGGAAACATTAATTTGGGGAATCTTTAAGAGATCAGCTCCCGGAGGCCTCGTCTGATCTCCATCTGTCGCGCAGGATCTGGAGGAGTTCATGGAGGGAGCTGGGGAGGCCGGGGTCATCGTCTTCAGCCTTGGTAGTGTGGTCAAGAGTGGTCAGATCCCACACGGTCTGGTGATAATAAGTTGTTGTGTTAAAGCCAACAGGAGCCCTTGGAGTAACCCTAAGCACTCACTAGCACTCACACTCAGTCACTCAGAGATTCATATTACATTAATCTGGTTCACTTCCCCGAATTATTTCTCTATACAGTAATGTAATGAAAAACAACTACTGTTTCTTATGATATAACTCTGAGAAATTATCTAACTTTCTTACAATGACAGTAATATTTGTTGGGATTTAAATTACGCGCCATTATTCCCTGACAATCAAACATATATATATTGTTTACAGTCATATATGTCCACAATTAACACACATATTAAATAGGACGTTAATTTTAGTTACTAATCAATATATAATAGGTCATATGTGATGGCAATATAACGTAGACAATGGTTTATGGTTGCGCATGCGTTGCCGTCAGCTGTTCGTCTGCCACTGTTGCTTAGCGTTCACTCCACGTTTCGCCACTGAACAGGAAAGTTACCGTAATTCACTCCCCGCTTCCTTCACTCAACCTGATCCTGTCCTGCACTCTGATTGATCGCGCCTGACACCGGTTCACCTAGTTCAGATAAGCCCTAACTGCACTGTACTATAGTTAGTTAAATACTGTAGATAATGTGGACTAACCAGCGAGCAGTCATTTAACAGGCTTGGATCAATTAGTAATTATAATTGAAGCTGGTTGTAATTAATTACAATCCTGAGTAATTGTATTTGTAATTGAACTTTGAGAATAAAAGGTAATTGTAATTATATTTGCAATTTGCTGTTCAAGTTTAATTCAATTACAATTACGCCTTGAAACTGGGACATTATGAAGGATTACTTAAATATTGATAAAAGTATAAAAGGGACCATATAGCGCCCTTATACAACACACACGCTCGGGAGTCGTGACCAGAGTTGATACGCCCAATACTCGTAAGCCCAGTGGTCCAGCGTAGAGCCAAACATGACGCCCAGTTACAGTATCACCGGTGCCACGTCGAGGATGACTGGTGTACTGGGACTACTGGCGAAGGTTGACCTTATTGGAAACAAAGAAGCGAGGGGTTGAAGCCTTCCGGGAACTTCTGGTGATCAAGCTTCACTGGTTGAGAATTGAATAGGAATGAATTATAGTGATGGAAATTGTTAGCAAAAATCTAACCACCATAATGTGTAGAATCTGATGTAAAATGTACTTACTTGGGACTTCGAAACTTAACTATGTAGTCCGAACATGGGTAAAAAATTTGTAATTGTAATTTTTATATGTAATTAATTTCAACATTTTAGGTTATTGATATTGTAATTGGAGAGTATTGTGAACCAAGTAATTGTAATTTAAACTTTAGTTGAGTAATTGAAATTGACCTTAAATAGTGTAATTAATTTAAACCTGGGACTACTTTATCTGTTTCCTCGTGTCGTATTGTAGATATTTTTGGTCTTAATCTGAGCTGTCCACCACGATAATGTTATGGAACAGCGTTATACTACAGTTACTTTGGTTAATGGATCACTAACCACAGATACACTATACTGTACTTAGACACTTAGTTAAAGGTGGGTCCCATAACACACTATACTAACTTACTAAGCTTACAAGGAGGCAGCATGGCCGGTACTGCACTCCACCGCCTTCACTTCACCAACTACCTACCCATTTACTGCTACTGGGTGAACTGGGAGTGCATGGGAATCGAACCACCGACCCCTGGTACAAGAGGCTAGTGCTGTATCCACTCGACCACCACACTCGATTGGTTTATGGTAATGACGCACCATTGACTGGAGGAGAGTGAAGGAAAAAGCTTCGTAGAGTGAGGGGCGATATGATAGAGGTGTATAAATGGAAGTCAGGGCTAAACAAAGGTGATATAACAAAGGTACTCAAACTATCCAACCAGGAGCGAACTCGTAACAATGGTTTTAAATTAGACAAATTTAGATTTAGGCGCGAGATAGGTAAACACTGGTTTGGAAATAGAGTAGTGGATGAGTGGAACAAGTTACCAAACATCATCATTAACTCTAATACGCTGGACAGCTTCAAACACAGGTTGGGTGGATATATGAGTGATAGGGGTTGGGTGTAAACGGGACTGTCCAGTATGGCCCGCTGCAGTTTCCTCCAGTCTTATGTTCTTATGTAATCGTTGACCATAAGGTTAACAAACACCTCGATTATGATTTATAACAAAGTAATAATGTAAGGTTGGTAATAATTAAAAATAATTCTTAGTATTTGGTTTACTGAAGTAATATAATGTAGATGAATCACCATACACCATACACCAACCTTATGAATGAACTAGTTGTATACACTAATTACCTACACTAATTGTAGGTAATACAATTAAGATATAATTAACACTTTAGCACTTCCTTTTACAAAATAATTTCTAAAATTATTCTACTGTACTATGGTTAATATCATAATTTTTGTGGCAAGTAGAGCAACACTGTGATATTCATTACTATAACCCAAGAGTGAAAAGCAAATCAGAAATACTGTAATAAAATCTATATACATATTCTAACTGCCATGGTACAAGAAGTTACCTCATAATTCAGTATGCTGCTAGTCTCCTTGTTCAATGATTTACTGTAGGCAATAGGCATCGTCTCGACATGCTTGTATATTAAATGGTTCTGCCTCCTGACCAGCTCCCCCTCTTAATGTGTGTGTGTGTGTGTGTACTGTAGCAGGGCTTGGGGTGTTCCTGAGATACTGTAGCTCCCTCAAACATTTTCAATCCAGTTGGAGTCTTACGCTTTGCTCTGCCAGTCTAACAGCTGAATGTGTTGTTGCTCGTCAAACTACACGTGAACTGAGCCTCGGTTCGGACCAGGATGAATGACTGTCTCTGGATGTGTACAGTAGGAGCGGCGGCGTTGACTCGCACTGATGGTAACGTGACCCCATCCACGATTTCTAGATAATGACCGGACGTAAACCTTCCATGTACATTAGTTGAGTAATATAAGTCCATAAACTATTCTCAAGGGCGACTTTCCACTTACATGTATAACAACTCTTCCCCTCAAAGCTGTTCTACCTTCGTGTTAATCCATCATCCCAGAAGAGGTATGTTTGCTGAAGCGTTCTCGTAATCCAGTAATGTTAGACACGAGACACCGCCTTCACAACTCATGAACCAGATACTAAAATGATTCTTGTGTTTTGCTCATTAGTCGTATCTTCAACAAAGCCTGATTAAATTGAACTTTATTATTAAACAGTTTCATATACATTAATAATATGTATTCCTCAGTACTGTAACTTACTTAAAAGTTACCAGTTACAAGAAATACACTGTTCCTCTTGTAACAAACTTTATGAAGACCTTAGTTAGTCCTCACAGTAAGCACACACACCACACAAGTCTTACACCCTTCCTCTCACGCTGACCTGACCTGACCTGACCTGACCTGACCTTACCTTATCCTTAACACAATTACATAAGATTATAGAAATACCTGAGACATTGGCGTTGTCATCTGCCATGTCTTCTATAATGCAGAGTGTATAAATTAAAGTAGTTAGTAGTCATTAATGGTCATTGGCCTCTAACAACTACCTCCAACAACAATATTTTATCATCCTTCCTGATTGGCTACACGGAGTTGAATATGTAAGACCTATTGTTTTATATAATGATGTTATAACAAGACTATAGCTGTTAGTGACATTATTTATACACCTCATATAACACACACACACACACACACACACACACACACACACACACACACACACACACACACACACACCCAGCGAGATCACTAGACAACGAGAAAGAAGCCATTTGCAATTTTATCATTTATGCCTGTGTGTGTATGTCGAGTTATTGATTTTTTTTCACCCTAAATTAAAATCCCTGGAAGGCTAATTAACAAACACCTGAAAATATTTACCAATTATGTTTGCATCAATTACTAAATTATTTTTTTTTAATAATATAAATGAGTAATTAAGTATATAAACACTGTATTTACATCTGTTACATTAAGGATATTAATTATATTCATGTAATTGGTTTATTTATTTATTTAAAACAGGAGAAGTGTTTATTATGCTTCATATAGATCAAGAGACTTATAGCACGTGTTTGGGGTCTCATTATTATCCTCTAATGGTTAAATACGACACAGCTACATTGGTCACTGCCGCATTAACCATTCCTGGGTATTTGGGTCTTGTTCTACTGTCACATAAGGTAAGGCAATTGACCATGACCCAGTTAGTGCCTAGGTAGTGCCCAACTAATGCCCAGGTAATGCCCCAAATAGTGCTCAAGTAATGCCCAGGTAGTGCTCAGGTAATGTCCAATGTAGTGCTCAGGTAGTGCCTAGGTAATGCCCAGGTAATCCCCAGTAATGCCCAGGTAATCCTCAGTAGTGGCCAGGTAATCCCCAGGTAATACCCAGGGCTAAACAAAGGGGACATAACAAAGGTACTCAAACTATCCAACCAGGAGCGAACTTGTAGCAATGGTTTTAAATTAGACAAATTTAGATTTAGGCGCGAGATAGGTAAACATTGGTTTGGAAATAGAGTAGTGGATGAGTGGAACAAGTTACCAAACATCATCATTAACTCTAATACGCTGGACAGCTTCAAACACAGGTTGGGTGGATATATGAGTGATAGGGGTTGGGTGTAAACGGGACTGTCCACTATGGCCCGCTGCAGTTTCCTCCATTCTTACAGTGATGTGTAAAGACCTGACAGTGATATGTAAAGGTCTGACAGTGATATGTAAAGGTCTGACAGTGATATGTAAAGACCTGACAGTGATATGTAAAGGTCTGACAGTGATGTGCGTAAAGACTGCAGTGTGACGTATGAAGAGAATTAACCCAAAATTTATTGACGTCTCAGTAACAGAAAAACATCACCGTCACATCACTTACACATCACTGTCAGTTTTTACACATCATTGTCAGGTCTTTACACATCACTGTCAGATCTTTACACATATCACTGTCAGATCATTATACATCACTGTTAGATCTTTACACATCACTGTCAGCTCTTTACACATCACTGTCAGCTCTTTACACATCTTTGTCAGATCTTTACACATCACTGACAGACCTTTACACCAAGGCTCCGTGCTCTGACAGATGACTGGAGGAGGGGGGGGGGGAATACTTGAAGCCAGATGTGTGTTGAGGGAAAATAAAAAAGTGTTTTTAAGGAAGGAAATTACATTATTACTTTAACACCTTCCATCTGTACTCTAAATCCCTCCCTTCCCTCCGTACTCTAAATCCCTCCCTTCCCTCCGTACTCTAAATCCCTCCCTTCCCTCCGTACTCTAAATCCCTCCCTTCCCTCCGTACTCTAAATCCCTCCCTTCCCTCCGTACTCAACTCCTCCTTCCTCCGTACTCTAAATCCCCTTCCTCTGTACTCTAAATCCCTCCCTTCCCTCCGTACTCTAAATCCCTCCCTTCCCTCCGTACTCTAAATCCCTCCCTTCCCTCTGTACTCTAAATCCCTCCCTTCCCTCCGTACTCTAAATCCCTCCCTTCCCTCCGTACTCTAAATCCCTCCCTTCCCTCTGTACTCTAAATCCCTCCCTTTCTTCGCTGTGCTGCATGTGGTAAGCTTGAGCATGGGGTTAAGCTAGAGCATGTGGTAAGCTTTGAGACTCGCTGCATGTGGTAAGCTTGAGCATGTGGGAAGCTTGAGCATGCGGGAAGCTTGGGCATGTGGTAAGCTTGAGCATGTGGTAAAATTTTAGACTCACTGCATGTGGTAAGCTTTGAGCCTCGCTGCATGTGGTAAGCTTGATACTCGCTGGCAGGTGGTAAGCTTTGATACTCGCTGCATGTTATAAGCTTGAGCATGTGGTAAGCTTGAGACTCGCTGCATGTGGTAAGCTTCACGAAGGTACTCCACAACCGTTGACCAATTACTAATTACAAGCCAACGGTGGTGGAGTTACCAACATGAGGTCTGACCATGAGGTGATTGGACGAACGGTGAAAGCTTGGTTGGACGAACGGTGAAAGCTTGGTTGGACGAACGGTGAAAGCTTGATTGTACGAACGGTGAAAGTTTGATTGTACGAACGGTTGATTGGACGAACGGGGAAAGCTTGATTGGATGTCTTGACACCTGTTAAAATAGAGAGAATTAATTACCTGACCTGACCCGACCTCACCTGACTTGACCTGACCTGACCTGACCTGACCTCACCTGACCTCACCTGACTTGACCTAACGTAATATAGCCACAAATATAATTCCTTTGGACGTTTTACTTTGAAATTAATTATTGAAACTTATAACTTATAATTAATAATAGTTTATTTTAACTAATTAATTTGTTATGTTTTAAAATAATTATGACTAATTAACATATTTTTTACTCATAAGATAATTCTAAGTAGATCTTTATGTTATTCAAGGTTAATGGTTATTAGGTAAACTGCTCTCCGTGTTAGGTTAGGTTAGGTTATATAGGCAATAAGAAGATGAGGAAGAAGAGAAGAAAAGAAAATAAGAAAAACAAAGAGGAAGAAGAAGAAGAAGAAGAAGAAGAAGAAGAAGAAGAAAAATAATAATAAGAAAAAAGTAAGAAATAAGAAGAAAGAAGGAAATAATGATAATAATAATAATAATAATAATAATAATAATAATAATAATAATAATAAGAAGAAGAAGAAGAAGAAGAAGAAGAAGAAGAAGAAGAAAAAGAAGAAGAAGAAGAAAAAGAAGAGGAGCAATAAGAAGAAGATGAAGAAGAATGAAGAAGAACAAGAACAAGAAGAAAAACGTAAGAAAATTATAATAATACGAAGAAGAAAAAGCAAACTAAGAGGAGGAACAGACCAGCAGCTTCATCCTTACATAATTAAAATTAAAAAGAGGAACAATAAACAAACAATAATTAACAAAATATAACGAAAATATTCAAATGAAATTATATGGGCGGCAGATTAATTCAGGGCAGGATGCAAATGCACTACAGGACGAACTAAATAAACTACAGGGGTGGTCTGAAAAATGGCAACTGAAATTCAACACCAGCAAGTGCAGCGTACTTAATATTGGAAGAACAAATACTGATAATGTATACAGCCTTAACAACATCAACCTAGAGAAGTCGACTTGTGAGAGAGACCTAGGGGTACCTGTAAGCCCGGACCTACGGCCTAGAAAACAGTGCGTTAATGTTCGAAATAAGGCAAACAGAGTATTGGGTTTTATATCTAGAAGTGTAATTAACAAGAGTGCAGAGGTCTTATTGCAACTATATCTTGCGCTAGTCAGGCCGCACCTCGATTATGCGGTTCAGTTCTGGTGCCCTTATTATAGAATGGATATCAATTCACTCGAGTCGGTGCAGCGAAGAATGACAAAAATGATTCCGGGACTTAGAAACCTTCCATATCAAGATAGGTTAAAGAAACTTAACTTGCATTCCCTAGAAAGACTAAGAGTGCGGGGAGATATGATAGAAGTATTTAAGTGGGTGAAAGGAATCAATAAAGGTGATATAGATGAAGTTCTTATAATATCCGAGCTGGATAGGACTTGTAGCAACGGATTTAAGTTGGATAAGTTTAGGTTTAGGAGGGAGATAGGAAGAAACTGGTTCACAAATAGGGTGGTGGACGAGTGGAACAAGCTTAGCAACTTTGTAGTAAGTGCTGGAACGCTGGATAGTTTCAAAAGGAGGCTAGATAGATTCATGGATGATAGAGAGTGGTAGTAACTCTCTACAGGAGCTGCCATGCACAGGACAACCGGCCTATTGCAGACTCCTTATTTTCTTATGTTCTTATGTTCTTATTAGCTAGCAGGTGTGTTGCTAGCAGGTGTGTTGCTAGCAGGTGTGTTGCTAGCAGGTGTGTTGCTAGCAGATGTGTAGTTTCTAGAGACAATGACCGCACCTGTAATAAACAAAACTCATCATCATCAAACATCACAAGGTAAACAACAACAACAACAACAACACAAACAACAACAACATCAACAACCACCACCACAACAACAAACAAGGTAAACAACAACAACAACAACAACCTCTCAGATTATATCACTTAAGCTGACACAATTTTACAGGTGAAAAATGAAAGTATAAAGTGTGTGTGTCTGTGTGTGTGTGTGTGTGTGTGTGTGTGTGTGTGTGTGTGTGTGTGTGTGTGTGTGTGTGTGTGTGTGTGTGGTTAACCTGATCTGGGTACTCGGTCATTCTTCTTCCCTCCCCTTATCTCTTCATCCTTCTCCTCCTTATCTTCCTCCCTCTCTTCCTCCCTCTCTTCCTCCCTCTCTTCCTCCCTCTCTCACATCCTCTCCTCAAAAAACAAAATTAAGTCAAATTTCAGAACAAATTCAACTTCACACAAAACTCTACCTCCAGAATTTATTTTCAGTATTTACCAAAGTCGATGTTGTCCCCATGGTATACTGTTTATTATTTCGTATTAAACAACTAAATTCTTTAAACACATTAACAATTCTACTACAATATCAATTAAGAATTAAGGGATATATATATAACTCAACCAAAGTTTACTCACCCGCGTCTCGGCTCGAATGAAACTGGTTTATTAAGGTATCTAGCCAAATGAAACCTGATCCGAACTGTGTCATGAGGACCTGATGATATGTGATTCAAGACACACTACATCACGACACACTACATCACGACACACTACATCACGACACACTACATCACGACACACTACACCACGACACACTACACCACGACACACTACATCACGACACACTACATCATGACACACTACATCACGACACACTACATCACGACACACTACACCACGACACACTACATCACAACACACTACATCACGACACACTACATCACGACACACTACACCACAACACACTATCGTACACTACATCACGACACACTACATCGTACACTACACCGACACACTACATCGACACACTACATCACGACACACTATCGACACACTACACCCACGACACACTACATCACAACACTACATGCGACACACTACATCGACACACTACATCACAACACTACATCATTACTGTCCACGACTTACTACACCGACACACTACACCACGACACACCATCGACACACTACATCACGACACTACACCGACACACTACATCGACACTGTCGACACACTACATCACGACACACTGTCGACACACTACATCACGGCACACTACATCGGCACACTACATCGACACACTACACCCGACACACTACATCGACACACTACATCGACACACTACATCGACACACTACATCACGACACACTACATCACGACACTACATTACGACACTACATCGACACACTACATCGACACACTACATCACGACACACTACATCGACACACTACATCGACACACTACACCACGACACACTACACCGACACACTACATCACGACCTACATACATTTTCATCGACACACTACATCACGACACACTACACCACGACACACTACACCGACACACTACATCACGCACCATCGACACACTACACCACTACACCGTGACACACTACACCCGACACACTACATCACGACACACTACATCGACACACTACATCTGACGACACACACACGCACACACACACACACACACACACACACCACCGCATGACTCCACATATATCAAACGTTCATCGTACAAAAGGTTATCAGACGCATTATGTTTTCATCGTTGCCAACAGCGGGTCTGTCCTCCCTCCACCCCTCTCCTCCATCGTTGCCAACAGCCGGGTCCTGTCCTCCCTCACCCCTCCCTCCATTGTTGCCAACAGCCGGATCCTGTCCTCCTCCACCCCTCCCTCCATCATTGCCAACAGCCAGGTCCTGTCCTCCCCTCCACCCCTCCCCTCCATCGTTGCCAACAGCCGGGTTCTGTACTTCCTCCCCTACATATTATTATTATTACTATTATCTACTATTATTATTATTATTATTATTATTATTATTATTATTATTATTAATGAAAGCTCATACACATACCTAATGTACCTGTAGAGAAGGTTAACTACAGTAGCCTTGGCCTCAGCCACCCCCAGGTGAGTGGAGGGGGGTGACTTAAGTCCAACAGCTGATCCCTCCCGTAGTCTACGTCACCTTACGCCTCTCTTACCACTCCGGAATCTCCTGTTGATAAAAGTAAATCCTTTAATCTCATGGTCATAACTTAAGGTCAGGTTAGTTTAGGTTAGCTGAGGTGAGGGTTAGGTGAGGTTAGGTTAGGATTTCCCTAGATTTTACCTGCAGAGAATTAATCGTTCACTCGTCAACTCTGGCAGTACAACACCGGAGAGTTTATCATAAGTTTCAGGGCAGTTGATGGTCTGTTGTGTAGTGTAGAAAACGGAATGCTCATCTACAGTGAGTTTTTTGTTTTTTTACGGGGATTAGCCCACCGAGGCACAGATCACTGACCCACATTGGGGCCTGGGGGGCGAAAATGTAATAATAATAGTAATAATAATAAAGAACCACAAAGAAATACAAAATTAAAAAAGATCAATAGTGAGAAACAATATATGTATGTTGTGTTGTCAATAGTAAGAGAAACAATTGAGACCCTGCAACTGTGTGTAAATGAGGCAGAAAGTCAGATCATCAACCTGGGACTTGGTCACATATGGCAGCAGGGTCTACCATTAGATAATACATTATGCTTCCAATATCTTCCCTGGCGGTAGTACCTCCCTGTTTGTTTATTGTGAGTGCTTGTCTACAGTGAGTGCTTGTTTATTGTGAGTGCTTGTCTACAGTGAGTGCTTGTTTATTGTGAGTGCTTGTTCAATGTTAGTGCTTGTTTATCTATCTGTATCTGTGTGTGTGTGTGAGCTAACTCCCCATACAATTCTCATTTAGGTTAGTTTATCTTGATGGTCCAGTTCTTTTTAACCTAACCTAACTTAACCTAACCAAACCTCACCTAGAGAGCAATACAAAGTGTGAGTCAGGGATTTATATTCAGGTTCACAGTGTTAGAAGAGTGTGGGGTGGATGGCTGTATGGATGAGTAAGTGGGTGGGTGAGTGGCTGGGTGGATGAGTAAGTGGGTGGATGAGTGGCTGGGTGGATGAGTAAGTGGGTAGATAAGTGGCTGGGTGGATGAGTAAGTGGGTGGATGAGTGGCTGGGTGGATGAGTAGGTAAGTGGGTGGGTGAGGTGGCACAGGTGGATGAGTAAGTGGGTGGGTGAGTGGCTGGGTGGATGAGTAGGTAAGTGGGTGGGTGAGTGGCTGGGTGGATGAGTAGGTGGGTGGATGAGTGGCTGGGTGGATGAGTAAGTAAGT